GTTAAATAAAGACAGGAGTGAGGAGACGGAGTCAGAAAGCTCCTCCCAAATGCAGGGCTTTCCACCCACCCCCCCTGAGTAACCCTGCACCCGCTGTCCAGAGCACTAAAGGGTCTTCTGCCAAAGATGGCACTTTGGGGTTATCACGATTACATATGAAGAGCCTGTTCTCACGTAAACTCAGAAAGCCAGGCTCAGGCCTCCATCTCCTTTTCTCATCTTCTTGCCATCCTTATCTTTGATTTCCCAGCAGGTGGATTTCCCAGCTCCTTCCTCAGGATCAGTCCATCCTGGATGTTTGTTCCCTTGTGAACCCCTGGATTATATTTCAGAGTCTTCCAAAAGAGGAATACAAAAGCATGATAGAGTCAAAAATTATGCTCACCATTCAGAGGTGAATGACGTTTGGGACAGGAATGGTCTGCTGGCAAAGGGACACAGAGAAGGGCTCTCTAATGCCAGTGGGAGGAGAGGAACGGTGCCATCTTCCTGGAAAGTATTCAATAATACAGATGTAGCAACTGTAAAATGTCTAACCTAAAGAAATAAAAAAAGGCTCAAGCCAGGTGTGTGTGGACATGAGAAAAAGAGTTGTTGTGATGTCTGTGATTCTGAGAAATAGAAAAAATAGCAAACTGGCTTAAATACTAAGCACATATCCAAGGACATCCAGAAGGGAGAGGCCTTTAGGGCTAGTGGTTTTAGCAGCTCAAAAAATGTCATCTGATATAGAGGCTCCTCCTCCCGCTCTGCTCTTCCAGTGAGCAGCGGCTCCAAAGAATGTTTAGCAGTATTCTTGTTGGTAACCAAAGGAGACAGAGAAAGCCTGGTTTCACACAGCTCTTTCTTAAAATCTAGAAAGAACTTTCCCCAAGTCTTTAGGCAACTTTGTATTGCCCAGAACTGGGCCACATGCTTTTTTTCCCTAATCAGTCATTGACTAGGAAGCAGAGAAGGGAGGATGTAGTGAACCTAAACCAATACTTTTACCCCCTCCCACTGAGATCAACTCCCCCAGAGTATCATTTCCATTCTGTGAGAAGGGTGCCTTGTTTGAGAACCAATCACTATGTTCAGCCAGAGAGTTAAGCGGTGACTGTGTGAATTGGTACAGCTGGTTCAGGAAATAGTATTCTTATTCTCCTGTGTCATTAACTGAATTAAGCATAAAGAGATTTGGAAATTCAAACATAAGAGTTCTTCCTGAGCCCAAGGCTTTAGGTACTTAAAATCTGGTTCCTACATATTTTTTAAAAAGTGATTCAAAAAGAAAAACAACAAGGTGCTGGACACAGTGGCCCACACCTATAATCTCAACTACTTGGGAGGCTGAGGAAAGAGGATTACAAGTCTGAGACCAATTTGAGCATTTTAATGACACTCTGTTTCAAGATAAATAGACAGAAAGATGCTAGATTGATCCATAGAGAAGACAGATATAGATAGATTGATTGATTGATTGATGGATTGATTCATTTGACTGATTGCAGGTGGAAAATAAGCTGGAGAGGTAGCTCAGCGGTAAAGTGTTTTCCGGGCATGCGTGAGGTCGGGGTTCAATGCCAACACTGCACTACCAACAAAAGCAAAAGATGACGACCTCCATGGTAAAGATAATGCATGCTTCAAAATTTCACAAAAAGAAGAAACAAGACAACATAAAGCCCCAGGGCATCATCTCATGGACAAGAAATCTTGGATATGCGTCTGATGGATGCATAAGAAAAATCTATGGATCGCATCCCTCTTTCTCTGACCACAGAGGAGGAACTCAAACAACTTTAAACCATAATCTCTAGGGGAAATATTGAGGGGGAATAAATTTCTGATGCCTTCATTCTGAAGATGCTACAGTTTTAGACTGCCCTAACATACGGCAATGTTTGATTGCTGTACACACCTAAGAAGTTTCCTATTGCTGAGTATTTCCGACCTGAGGCAGAAAGGGGATATGGCTGAAACTTGCTGGGAAAGGAGGCCTAACGAGTTCCTGGGACACACGCACAGAACAATTCTCAGAGCCCTGAACTTAGACTTTTCCTGAGAACTTGAGTGGGTTTGTGAAAGGATGACCCGGATGTAAGGTCAGAGTGGAATATACAAAAAAGGGACAGTCGCCATTAAGCGCTTGTCCTATGGTGTCCTTTCACAGTAACCCGCTCTATGCTGTAGAGTGTATCTTTCTATTTTTTTCTCCCTTTTCCTCCTTTTCCTTGGCCCAAGCTCGCTCTGCAGAGCCCTTTCTCCCCCTACCCTTCCGGTTTTTTCCCACCCTTAATCAGCATACAGTTTTGCCAATATTTATGCTTGTTTCGTCTAAGTTTTTGTTCGTGACAGAGAAAAACTAAAAGTTACCTCTGGGAAGAAGCTCCTGTGCCTCAAAGCCCAATTACAGACTCTTTTTAAGTCTAACATAAAATCACAGTGCACCTTACTGTTCTTTGCTAGATAAACAAAGTATTTTTTCTCAATTACCTGGTTCCACATAACCACATGCAATTTTTAAACTGTCACTAATAGCCCTTCCCTCCCATTTACTGGCAATGTGTTCAAGTCAGTCCTAGCTCCAATTAAGGGTACCTGCAGAAGGGAAATCCTACAGTGAAATGCCATGTGCTTTACATTCCAGGAAGGAAAGTAATCCTCACAGGTGATGATTTGGCAAGGAGATAACTGACTTCCTCCCCTAAAGGGTCCATCCCTTGAGTCCATATCAATTTACTGGCCTGAAATCCTGGTGCTCCTAGTTGGGGCCACACACACCAAGGGACGGTAACCCCAGTATTAAAGGTGGCAAGTTTTCCCTTTGTCCATCCTGCCTCTCTGAGAGCTTCCCAATCCTCTGGGGAGTGGGACCAGCAGGGAGACGGCTGAGTCCCTCACAGCCCTCCAGACAGCCGCCTCTGTGACCCTGATTTTCACCCGAACAAGTGGAAAGCTGTGTCTTGAGGAAGGGTGCTGTGTTTGGTGTTAACTCCTGTACAGCTGCTGCCGGCTTTCTGTAACAAGATAGCTCTTTACTGCGACCATATTGGTCACCTTTTTATTTGGACAGTGTGGAGAGATTCAAGTTCTTCTTGTTTTGTTGAAAGCAGCCAAGCTCCAGGATAACTCCAGAGGTGTCAGTCCCTGGGCCAGGGAGCAGGTAGCCTGAAGGGGCAGAAAGCACTGGTTCCTATTCTATCAGTGTGGAATAGATGCCTAGGGCAGATGGTCTTTTCACAGAAGCACCTCACACCCTCATCTGCCCTGTGCAAAACCATTAGGAGCTCCAGAGAAGCCCAGGACCATTCACTGGCCATCTGTTCCGGAACTGTTCCCAAATGTCCAGTATCCGGAAGAATTAATGATAAGTGGGAAGATCTGAAGTCACCTTTCAATGAGCAAAGTGGATTCTGGGGAAGTAGGTACTGAGTCTGAAATCTGCAGATCTGTGTGGATGAATAAGCATCTATGACTTCCAGGACGGGAATCTGATTTGATTTAATCATCTGGCAGAATCGTTTGCTCCGGCCTCTCAACATATGAAATCCAAGGAACGTGTGTCTGAGGAATGTACTTTTCTGCTAGAGACACTTGATGTGTATATTGAGTAACTAGCAAACGCTCCACCACCACCACCCTGGGCCACACAACTCTCCTACGCAAGAAAAGTGAAATTGCTGTTTGATAAATGTCAGCTCGTGGGTGTTTCCAGCATTTGGAAGTCCTGCCAGGGGTAGCTGCTGAGAATGGAGGTGAGCCCCTGGAATCCCCACCTCCCCCACATTGCCTGTGCCCAGATCCTTATTTGGTGATGCTTCTAACTGCATCCTGGTCCCTCCCGCCATCCCTGACAGGACCTCAGCAGGGAAAGCGGTGACTGCTGACGTCCTTTCCTAAAGAGATGAATGGAATTCCAGGCAGCTGGAGTCACGCTGGCTTGGGATGGTGGCTTGGAGACCAGACGGCAGTGACAGAAGCATCAGGCAGCCAGCCTTGCGCATGGCAATGTGTGTGCCCACAGAAATGGGACCCACACCTAGATTTCAGGAGCCGAAAAATGAGAAGAACGTTTAGAGAGAGAAAAGGGAAATAAAATAATAGGCAGAAAGTAATTTATTATTCTATTGGTCTGTTCTGTAAATAGATTAAGACCCAGGAGCCAGATAGTTCTGCAAATTCTCCAACCAGGAGTCACGTTAAGAAGCACGAGTGGGCACAAAAAAAAAAAAAAACTGTTTTTCAAGACACAACTTAAATTTCGACTTGAGGGAACTGGATATGAGTTAGTTTCCCCAAAATTCCCCCTACTAGAAACAGTCTGCGCAGGTCCCCTTGATCAGAATACGCATACCTCCCCCAAGCGGCAAGCCGTGGAAGCGCCGGCGCAAATGCGAGAAGCGACTTCGGCCGAGTCTGGCAAAGTGCGGCCCCCGGCACTGGGAGCGGGAGCTCGGCGCTCTCGCTGCCTCCTTTAGGGGGTCAGGTGGAGGACAGAGTGCAGGCCAGGGCTGGAGTTCAGAGTACCTAGGACCCGCGGGGTTGATGGATGAGGGATAAGTACACAAGAACAGCTTCTTCAACACTCAATTCTCTCGGGGTCCCATTTAGAGTCTACTCTGGGGGGTCATTTCAAAGCGTCTCGGCCATCGTCCAGACATTCAAGGAGACGGGCTTGTCTGCAAACCACTCCTCCCCTAGGGTCTTGGGTGGTCGCCAAAGCCTCGTCGCAGCTCAGGATGCTCACGCCGCACGCCTCGGGCTGCGTGGCGCAGGAGGCTGAGCGCGGAGCCCCGGGGTGCCAAGGCAGCGTGGGCGGGCACCTATTTTTCTGAGAAGTTCCACTGCTCCGGCGCCCCGACCCCGGCCTCCCCCTTCACTTTCTAGCTGGAAAGTTGCGAGCCAGGCAGCGGGGGGCGGAGAGAGGAACCCAGACTGCCCCCCTCCTCTTCCTGCCCGGCCGCCGCCCATTGGTCAGAGGAATCCCCAGGAATGTGCGCGCCCCTTTAAAGGCGCGCGGCTCCCGCACTTCGCCAGCCAGTGCCTCGAGCCCGCCGCGAGTTCGGGCTCCCGCGAGCTCTCCGGGTGCAGCCTCCGCCTCCCGCCGCCCCAGCGCCTGTCGAGGACTCGGCGCCCCTCGTTGCGTCCTTGCCGCTTCTCCTGCCGCTGCGCCGGCGTCCACACAGGTAAGCCACCTCCAGCCCCAGGCTCCACTGAACCTGGGCGACTCACATCTCCTACTCTGCCCCTCCGCTAGTCCCTTCCAGGTGCCCCGGAGCTCTTTTTTGGGAAGGCTCCAGCCATGGGTTCACCAGCAACTCTCCAGGAGACCCCAGTTTTCTCATTTTTCAGGTCCTCCCTAAAGCTTTGCATCACTCCTCCAGGTTTCTAGTTCTTCCCGCCCTCCCTGACCCCCCACCAATCTGCATCTCTGGTTCCTACCGATCCCCCCTCGTTTCCAACAAAGAGGCCCCTGCCCCCATCGTTGGTCTTTGTGCCCCTCCTCCTTGAACACTGCGGTCTCCGGACTCCAGCGCTCTCGCTTTTTGCATGATGCCCTCTGGAAAGTAAATCCTGTTGTCCTTCCCTCCATTAAGCGTGGGGCGGGAGAGGCATTCCGGGGCCCTTAGCGACCTGCCCCCTACCCCCCCTTTCCCCCACTCTCCCTGCTTAGCTGGTCTCTGACCCTGTGCTCTTGTGCTTCCTCCTACAGGTCCCTGCTGGGCACAAACAGCTCCACCATGGGGCTAGCCTGGGGACTCAGCGTCCTGTTGCTAGTGCATGTGTGTGGCACCAACCGAATTCCAGGTGAGTCCATGTTGGTCCTTGGGAGTGCTGGGGGAGGGGCGCAGGCTAGCCCAGGTGTGTCCCCGGCCCTACTCCCTGTCCCAGCCGATTCTGCCCAGAGCCCTGGCTGAGTATCAGGACGCAGCTTACCTCTGGTAACTAACTCTCTCAGTGATTGCCAGTTTTCACCCTGTCCTTCTGGTCCCAGCCCTCGACAGTCCAGCCCTCTACTCCTGGCCCCAGTCTAAAAAGCTGACTGTCTTCTCTCCTGCCCAACAGAATCTGGGGGAGACAACAGCGTGTTTGACATCTTTGAACTCACTGGGGCCGCACGCAAGGGCTCTGGGCGTCGGCTGGTGAAAGGCCCTGACCCATCCAGCCCAGCTTTCCGCATTGAGAATGCCAACCTGATCCCCCCTGTGCCCGATGACAAGTTCCAAGACCTAGTGGATGCTGTGAGAGCAGAGAAAGGCTTCCTCCTCCTGGCCTCACTGAGGCAGATGAAGAAGACCCGGGGCACGCTGCTGGCGGTGGAGCGGAAAGACCACTCCGGCCAGATCTTCAGCGTGGTCTCCAACGGCAAGGCGGGAACCCTGGACCTGAGCCTGAGCGCGCAGGGGAAGCAGCAAGTAGTGTCAGTGGAGGAAGCTCTCCTGGCCACTGGCCAATGGAAGAGTATCACCCTGTTTGTGCAGGAAGACAGGGCCCAGCTGTACATTGACTGCGAGAAGATGGAGAATGCTGAGCTGGATGTCCCCATCCAAAACATCTTCACCAGGGACTTGGCCAATATCGCCAGGCTGCGCATCGCAAAGGGAGACGTCAATGACAATTTCCAGGTGAGTCCTCTTCTTGGAGCCCTGATCCATGAGGTCGTTTGCCAGCCAGCTGACCTGCCACAAGGGCTACAAGAAGTGCTGTTTGTAGACTGACACAGCAGCTCTCAGACTTAGGGAACTGGCAAACCCCTAGCAGGCTGGCTAAATCACACACTGCTGCCCCCTAGTCCCAGGGTTTCAGAAGTCATAGGCCCAGAGAGGGTCCAGAGAATTTGCATTTCTAACAAGCAGCAGGTGCTGCCTTTGCTGATCCTGCTGGCCTAGGATCCCTTGTCTGAAAACAAGCAGCCTGTTCAAGTATCAGATGTTCCTTACTAGCTTCAGAAAATAACTTACTTCAAATGCATTCCACCAATTTTAACTGTGGCCTGAAGTAGATACTTTGTATGGGCAGAATCAGTAACACTTCGCTATCTGATTCCTCAGAGGGATGCAGCCAGTCTGGAACCGAAGGTTGAAATAGTGGTTATTTGTTGCTGCAGGAGCCTAGTGCCTTAATTTCTAGATCTTTGCAACTGTGGCTTTGAACTCCCACATTTCACTCTTTGACACTAGAGAGTGTCATTAGATCTGCTGGGTTTAGTATCAGATTCCATTTCCTGTATACCCAAGTAGGCTGATAACTAAATTCTTGGTAAAATACTGAAGACTTGGCAGAAGACATAAGATTTTGAGGTTGTCTGGCAGTTATGTTGGTGTGTTATTTTGACATAGTGACCTTAACACGGAGCCCTCTTAAGCTTTTGGTTGTATGTGTCTATTGTGTGCAGAGACTACGTCCCCACCCCCACCAACTCCCAGTATGCTACAAGTAATGTGTTTCCTCTGCCTACAGGGGGTGCTGCAGAATGTGAGGTTTGTCTTTGGAACCACACCAGAAGACATCCTCAGGAACAAAGGCTGCTCCAGCTGTGAGTACCCCTCTGTTTTTAGGGTATGTGGGGAAGTCAAGGGGATGGGGGGGAGTTCCACCAAAAATAGACTGAGAAATTCAAGCAATAGTGTTTGTGCATAATTTATCCAGGTAATGTAGCTAAAAAGAATACAGCAAAGACCTCAAATGTTATTCCCACACAAATAAACATCCTCTGCTTGCATCCGTTGTCCTACATGAAATGTTTACAGCCAAGGACTTGACGGCTGGCTGGTGAGCTCACCAGTCGGAAGCCTTTCTACTACTTTCCTTTCCCATTATGTTTCTTAGCTGCTACCAATGTCCTTCTCACCCTCGACAACAATGTGGTGAATGGCTCTAGCCCTGCCATCCGCACTAACTACATTGGCCACAAGACGAAGGACCTGCAAGCCATCTGTGGCATCTCCTGTGAAGAGCTGTCCAACATGGTCCTGGAGCTCAGGGGCCTGCGCACCATCGTGACCACGCTGCAGGACAGTATCCGCAAAGTGGTCAGTGGCCTCTGATCGCAGCCCACTAGCCCTTGACAGTTCACCCCACTCGCCCCCAGATGAGGCTGGACACTAATGATCATTCTCCCCCTTTCAGACGGAAGAGAATAAAGAATTGGCCAATGAGCTGAGGAGGCCTCCACTCTGCTATCACAACGGCGTTCAGTACAGGAATAACGAGGAATGGACTGTGGATAGCTGCACCGAGTGTCACTGTCAGGTGAGGGATGGTCACACGCTACGAACTGATGGCATGTGTTTGAAGCCACATTTTCTCAGGAAATACCCACCTGGTCGCACAAGTTCTTTTTATGTACCGCGGTCTGCTACCACAGGCATTTATCTTTAAGATGCAATTATGACATCTACAAATTCTTTAAACTCTCAGAAAGTTTATCAAAGTCTTAATTATACCCCAGGCAAAGAATCTAAGAGAACAAATCTACTTAGACATTTGAGTAATTGCCTGCTTTAGTTCAAAGACCAAGTGTTGAATGTCAGGTAAATAAAACCTGCTTAGAACATTCCTCCTTTCCCTCCCCCGCCCAGCCCTGATTTGTATTCAGCTCTGACATAGGGTTCTTTTCACATAGCCCTGATTGTTGTTCAGTTCACTTAGGCCCATACTGGTAGGATGTCACTGTCCACTTAGTTCAGATGGCACTGCCTGCTGGCATGTTTCCTCACACCAGAGACAGGTGAGTTTGGGCTTTTCATGGCTCACCAAGCAGAGCACAGTTTAAATATAAACACAGGTTACTGAGTTTGGGAACCAGCTTCATAAATTCCCTTTCTTCTCCATTGTAATACACCACCAGATCTATAGACGAAAATACTTATAGATCTTCTTTTCCTAAGGATACGATATAAAAATTTAAAAGTCCTGGCCAAGTTTCACGAGTTCAATTTTAGATGTGGACTTGACTCATAATGTTTGTTGATTCCTCATATGTATATAAATTCTTTGTGTTGTAACTTCCATACCTATCATTTAAAAAAGACTCTTCAAAGAATGGAGTTATAGGTAAGCATACAGTATAGCATCAGAACTCTGATATTGGTGGCTGCAGACAGAACTTTCATTAAAATCATTTCACTAGAGCACTATGATGGACCTTTCATTAAAATCATTCCACTAGAGCACTTACTGCCCTAACCACGTCATGCCTTGTCACTGAAATGCAATAGTGAGTAAACTTCTATTTGCAACGCGCTCAGTAACCCATTTCCCTTGTTCTTTCACCCTGCAGAACTCAGTTACCATCTGCAAAAAGGTGTCCTGCCCCATCATGCCCTGCTCCAATGCCACGGTTCCTGATGGAGAGTGCTGCCCACGGTGCTGGCGTAAGTTCCTAAAACAGCTTAACTGTTCTTAAGTGACACTAGGTGCCTTCTCCTACATTCTGAACAGCTAGACCAAACATTGTCCCCTACCCTACCTCCCCATCATATTTTCATTCCATTTCTTGCTGCTACAACTGGTTAACTGACAAATTCTATGTTGCTTAAAGTCATAAACTCAGTTATGACAAAATCTGAATTATCCCTCCATATTATGGCATAGATGATCTTGGTGTAGCTTATTCTGGTTTTATGCTTTTAAGAAAGGAGATGAAGATAAAACAGTAGTAGATCTAGGATGACTTCTTTTAGATTTTACAGTACAGAGTTAGAAATATGTTCACCTGAGAAATTGATAGGCTTAATGGTGTAAGCCTTGGGCAGAATTCAGCCTAAAACTTCTGTTTTATCTGCAGTATAGAGGTTGAAGAGAATTACATGAGTTTAGACGTAAAGGCACTAAAAGCAGTTAGGAGCTGCACTGCTGCATGGTACTGTATCTCTGGTTTTTGTTGGCAGTGCAATCACTCTGCTGAGATAATATGTAATGCGGTAGGTGCAAGTCATAAAAGTGACTCATCATCATCAAGATAAGGAAGAAAACAGGGAAGTGCTACTTGCCCAACACATACATACACACACCTACATTACTGGCCAGAGCTCAAAATAACCAGTCCCATCCAGGGGTCACAGTAACGATGTTGGTACTGTAATGGTCATTTGTGTATGTTTCTGTTCAGCATTCACTTGAGGTATGGATTAAAGGGATCAAAACTGGCTGGGGGCTGGCAGAGTTCTGAACTTGAATTAAGGATTCCTAGGAAAGCTTTTAACTGACTGCAAAAGAAAACAAGTTCTCAGCCTTCTGTCTGATACAGATAGATGTGATTGTAGTCATGGTGCCTGGGCAGATGGAAAACAAACACGTTTTTTCTGCCTGTGCAAATATGTGTAGAGAAGGCCCCCGATGCTAGCATGAAAGAAACAACAAACTGACTAACCTCCCGGCCAAGTCAGCGTCACAGCCAACAGCAGCCAAGTTGTCTTCAAGCTCATCTGTCAAACACATGGTCTGGGGCTTCCCTGGCAGTCAGAAATGACTGCTATCAGCAGCCCAAAACTTCAGCATTCTTGGAAGGCTGAGGCTGGAAATGCCTATGCAGATATCTTAAGTCAGTAAAGAGAAATGTTGAAATGCTGAGAGAGGAGAAAAGAGGAAGTGTAAAAAGAAGAACTTAAACATACCGATGCTAAGGGAATAAAAAAGAAAATATAGTACATCATAGCCCCTGACAGAGGTTATGTTAATCATGGAGTACTAAGTGACCTCTATCTCCCTGCAGCCAGTGACTCTGCAGATGACGGCTGGTCGCCCTGGTCTGAGTGGACTTCCTGTTCTGTAACATGTGGCAATGGAATTCAGCAGCGTGGCCGGTCTTGCGACAGCCTCAACAACCGATGTGAGGGCTCTTCCGTCCAGACACGAACCTGCCACATTCAGGAGTGTGACAAGAGATGTAAGTATGCCATCCACTTAGGAGTGGAGTGATCTGGCTTGTCCTGCTGTCATCATCAAGAGCAGTTCTATGGCAGGGTGCTCAAGAACACAGGTTCCAGGATCTCTGGACTGAATTCCAGCTCTACCATTTGTCTCTGCACCCTTAGCAAAACCTGCCCTTCCTACAGCTCCCTCCTCATCTGCAACATGTGGATGATAGCAATAGTTCCTGAAGTTATCTTAAGCATTTTATTTAGATAACGCACATAAAGCAGTATCACAGAGCTGGCCTCATGCTAAACACTCCATAAATGTTGGCTTACGGACAGAAACCCACAAGGACAGCTAAATATGATTGCTACCCTACTAGGAAAGATTCTCCGTGACACTGGGATGTTGTGGCCAAGAGCCAGCTTACTCTATACATGAGGTTTTGCTCCCATGGACCACATGCTAGGAACATATCTCTGTGGTCCCAAGGATCCCTGCTCTTTGACTAGCTCCAAGCCAGCACCACTTGTGACCATCTGCTTTGTCCTTTAGTTAAACAGGATGGCGGCTGGAGCCACTGGTCCCCATGGTCAACTTGTTCTGTGACGTGCGGTGAAGGTGTGATCACAAGGATCCGGCTCTGCAACTCTCCCAGCCCCCAGATGAATGGGAAACCATGTGAAGGCGAAGCCCGGGAGACCAAACCCTGCAAGAGAGACGCCTGCCCCAGTACGTGTGTGCCTAGCCATGCAGCCACCTGCGGGCAGCAGCTCTGCCCAGCTGGTGGCCTGCTATCTGCAGCCTCCAGTTCAAGGGGTCATGGGAGGGAAAAGGTTACTGACTAGAAAAACAAACAGGAACAAAGTCCTGTGTGTTCAGCAGCTTCTCATAATGAAAAGCATTTCAAACTCACCCTCTTCCCAAACATTCTTTCCATGTGTCAGGCTCAGGGTGTCTTCTGTGACAGGTAAGGCTTTGAAAACTGACCTGATTTTTGCATGTGATTCATTTTCTTACAGTCAATGGAGGCTGGGGGCCCTGGTCACTGTGGGACGTCTGCTCTGTCACCTGTGGAGGAGGGCTGCAGAAACGTAGCCGGCTCTGTGACAACCCCATGCCGCAGTTTGGAGGCAAAGACTGTATCGGTGATACGACAGAAAGCCAAGTCTGCAACAAGCAGGACTGTCCAATTGGTGAGTGGCTCAGGCCAGGGCCAAAATACCCTAGGAACTTTCCATTTTCCTGAATGCTGCAGTTAGGCTTCAAGGGGGTCTGAGTTTTGCTTAGTCCTGAGTTATTCTAAAATGCAGAGGGACTGTGTCATCCAGTGAGTTGTCAGTAGCAGAGACCCTACAATATCTTATGTGTATTGTTTGTTAAGTGGCCAGCACAGCAGTAGAAGCAGCTCGGATCTGCCACTTACCTGTCTGTTTCATCTTGTCCCAGATGGATGCCTGTCCAATCCTTGCTTTGCTGGGGCCAAGTGTACTAGCTATCCCGATGGCAGCTGGAAATGTGGCGCTTGTCCTCCTGGTTACACTGGAAATGGCATCCAGTGTGAAGATGTAGATGAGGTGAGGAGCCGTCTAAGCTAGGAAACCAGCACCCTGTCCCAGGTGCTTCCTTAAGACTGCATTTTCCCCTTTTCCTTCCTTCTTTCCTTGCTTCCTACTTTCCATCCTTTTCCTCCTTCCTTTCATTTCTTTGCCTCAGCCTCCCAAGTGCCAGGATTATCACAGATGTGGGCCACCAAAGGCAGCATTTTCTAAACACTAAGAAAACTCTTGTTTCCCTCACAGTGCAAAGAAGTGCCTGATGCCTGCTTTAACCACAATGGAGAACACAGATGCAAGAACACCGATCCTGGGTATAACTGCCTGCCCTGCCCACCACGTTTCACAGGCACACAGCCGTTCGGCCGGGGTGTGGAACATGCCACAGCCAACAAACAGGTACAGTGGACTAGACTAATAGATCAGGGGAGAAGCAAGCAGGCCTTGACCAAAACAACAAGCATATCAACGAAGGGAAGGAATTACCAGTGTACCTTTGAAGAGGTGACTTAGTGGTCACCGTGTTTGACAACACTGCTCTGAAAGCAGTTGTGAGCAGGTGCGCTTACATTTATTCGGGAGCTGAACAATTTCAAGATGGGAAATGTAAAGCAGCATTTGCCCACAGTCTAGAAATTTTCAGGGAGAGAGTAGTAAGAGACAGAGGTAACCTGTATTCACCTAACCAGGGTCTCAGTCTCCTCGGAAAAACAAAGATCTGCTCTCTTCTTGGTTCTGTGGTGTGTGCCACTCTTGGATTGGAGGCTCTGTGCTGACACCAGGATGTGTGCCCTCAGGTGTGCAAGCCCCGAAACCCCTGCACTGACGGGACACACAACTGTAACAAGAACGCCAAATGCAACTACCTGGGCCACTACAGTGACCCCATGTACCGCTGCGAGTGTAAACCTGGCTATGCTGGCAATGGCATCATCTGCGGAGAGGACACAGACCTGGATGGCTGGCCCAATGAGGACCTGGTGTGCGTAGCCAATGCTACCTACCACTGCAAAAAGGTATAGCCACCTCCCCTCGTGTGCCTGCAACAAGAAGGCCCATGGCCCCTGCCAAAGGACACACAAGAGAATTTTGCATGCTGTAGGTTTGAAGATAAAACCAATAGATTAACTCTCCCGAAGGCAAAAGGGCATTGATTCTTATTAATATTAAATCATTTGGTACCAGGAACATGAACAGGTCAGACCTTTGGCAACTGTGTCCTGCAATGAATTCTTTTATCCAAAGAAATGGTCACTCTCCTAGCAGAGTGTGGCTTATGTTCACAGCATCTACAAAAGCTAGAGCACTTATGTAAACCCTCTATGTGTCTGTCTCCAAGAAACTGTTTCATTATTTAACCTTCCCATAAAGACACATACACTGTTCCCCAGCAACATGTGGTCCTCTCCTGTTAGTCAGCGCTGCATGTCTGTGCTGAGTGAAGGGAAGAATGCAAACCGTAGCTTTCATGGGTCTTCTCTTTTCCAGGACAACTGTCCCAACCTCCCCAATTCAGGGCAGGAAGACTATGACAAGGATGGAATTGGTGATGCCTGTGATGATGATGATGACAACGATAAAATTCCAGATGATAGGGTAAAAAATATTTCCCTCTCCTCTTTCATCTTTTTAATTCAAGATCCTGAATCACTTGAGGATACAGGAAAATTGCAGGTTTATAGCAGAAAATATACCAAACTGACACACGGTATAATTAGAAATTATTCATCATGTCTTAGCAGTTTAAAGATTCAGATGTGCCAAGAGAATTTCTAAGTGAGGGGTTTGTTTCTTACCTCTACCATTTCCCCGATTTGAGAGAGATAACAGTGTAACAAATAAACAAATGACACTTTGTTCCCCAGGTTCATCCCAAATGTCATAGTTAAATGACAGTAAAACTTACTTTGGTTATAATGAGAACTGAGATGATAAGATTACATTTTACATCTCCCTCATTTGTAGCCAACAGGAATGCCTTTTTCCTTCATTATGTCCTGCCTTTAAACTTTATAGATCATTCTACTGGCACTGAGTACTCCATGAGAATATCTGCTAAGGAGAACATGATTATTGCAGGGCTTTGCAGTTTGCATGTGTTTGGAGGCTTCTGCTGGTTTCTCAGGCAGCACCATAAAGTGCTCCATTTCTCCTCTGTGCAGGACAACTGTCCATTCCATTACAACCCAGCCCAGTATGACTATGACAGAGATGATGTGGGAGACCGCTGTGACAACTGCCCATACAACCACAACCCAGACCAGGCAGACACAGACAACAACGGGGAAGGGGATGCCTGTGCTGCAGACATTGATGGAGACGGTAAGGTGCTCTCCGCCTCAGTGGGCCTGTGTGGCAGAAAATGCCCCCAGCTTCAACTCCCTTCACAACAGTGTGTCGCTATGCTGTTTGGTCAAAGAAGCCATGGCTGGAAAGTCCCTTACTTGTCCTGTTCTCCACAGGTATCTTCAATGAACGAGACAACTGCCAGTATGTCTACAATGTGGACCAGAGGGACACGGATATGGATGGGGTTGGGGATCAGTGTGACAACTGCCCCCTGGAGCACAACCCAGATCAGGTGGGTGGACTCCTTCGAGAGTTGTTCAAGGTGTTGCAGTTGCTGGGCCTTTAAGACAATGAGTTTAGAACAGTGCAAATGCTCTTATTATCGCGGCGCTCAGAGTTCTCAGAGCCAGGTGCAGCATGTTCATGTAAATAACCTGCTATGTGAGCTCTCTGCAAGGACTCCTATAGGTCTCCATCCTGCAACTTTAGTCTTGTCTTCTGTAAGATCAATTTGACTTGCACAGCATAATCTACCACTGTTAAGATAAATGATACAACTCCATGACAGTATTAATAATACATAAGACTAAGGGGAAGAATATCCAGAAGCAAAGTGAACAACCATTTTCATAGTCAATGATATAATCTAGCTGGAAGAAAGAATCAAATTCAAAACATTTCCTGAAACTAGGAGAAAACTCCTCTTTCTGTCGTTCTCCCTGTCTTACATTGCAGACAGTTCGTCCTTTACCTGTAGTAGGGTGTGCTACATATAAACATTATTGCATAGAATAGGTTTCCTGTCTGAGGGCATTTCTCTTTTGTGTGACTGCCCATCATTTTCTAGGATTAAAAATTGAGAGAATACATTTTTAAATGTGTTGTTGTGGGTGTTTACAAGCCAGCTTTTAAAAAATGGTGGTATTTTTATAAGATTAAAGAAAGGAGAAATCAGCTTCTCAAAACACTTGCTCTAGTGAAGTTGCATCAAGCAGATGGAACAACCTGCAATGGCTTTGCTGACCACATGGCATTGAGGACCAACTATTTCAAGTTTGGGTCTTACCATAAAGTAAACTTCTTCAATGTCATTTAACTCACTGGAGGAGCTTTTCATTCCTCTGATCATAATAATCTTAAAATTTGAGCATCAGGTAAAAAAAAAAAAGTATTCCATATATACTGAATAATGCTAAGTACTTTGGGGAAATCTGTTCTGAAAACAAATTAAAATCTATCTGAGCCAACAGATGAGAGTTCTTATGAAGTACATATATAAAATCAAATACCTTAAAAATTGTATTTTAAATCTCTCATACACTTGACATGTCAGCAAGTATACACCTAAAACTTTCAATGAAAAATTACAAAATGTACCTAGAGGATTTTTAAGATTAAGATTAAACAGTTAAAACTGCTTTCCAACCTTAGTGATTCTTTCTATGCTAGAAAGTTTTGCATTAAAAAAAATCTTAAATATCTTTTTAAATTTTCATATAAAAGCAAAGATCAAGAACAAAAACTTTTAAAACTTGATTGTTAATATTATTTTTCTTCAGTACTGTAGAAATAAACATGAAATGAGCTGGCCATATCAAATATAGGAGAATTTTCCCTGTTGAGGGGACATTAATGTTATCTTTAACATAATGACTTCTACTTTGATTGACCTTCCATGTTTGCTGCTCTTCCAGCTGGACTCTGACTCAGACCGCATTGGGGATACTTGTGACAACAATCAGGACATTGATGAAGATGGCCACCAGAACAATCTGGACAACTGTCCCTATGTGCCCAATGCCAACCAGGCTGACCATGATAAAGATGGCAAGGGAGATGCCTGTGACCATGATGATGACAATGATGGCATTCCTGATGACAGGGATAACTGCAGGCTGGTGCCCAATCCCGACCAGAAAGACTCTGATGGTGAGTCAGTGCGGCCGCTCTGTAGTAAGAGAGCGATCGACGCTGTGGCTGTCTGGATGGAGAGAATAAAAGCAGAGCTGAATGTGTTGGGGAGGACAAAGGGCTGACACCAACTTTAACAAGATAAAAGTCATAATAGCAGAATTTCACTAAATTCTTGCTTTTTCTGACCTTAGGTGATGGTCGAGGTGATGCTTGCAAAGATGACTTTGACCATGACAGTGTGCCAGACATCGATGACATCTGTCCTGAGAATGTTGACATCAGTGAGACTGATTTCCGCCGATTCCAGATGATTCCCCTAGATCCCAAAGGGACATCACAAAATGACCCTAACTGGGTTGTACGCCATCAGGGTAAAGAACTCGTCCAGACTGTGAACTGTGATCCTGGACTTGCTGTAGGTGAGCACAGCCTTTTGATCAAAGGCAAATACATACATGAGAAAGAAGCAGATAGAAAACCTGGTAGTTGAACCTGTCTCTGTAGGCACTGAGGATGTCCAGGAGTATAACACGGAACCTTCTAATGTTTTTAACTGAGCCCTGGCCTCATTTTCCAGGTTTTGATGAGTTTAATGCTGTAGACTTCAGTGGTACCTTCTTCATCAACACCGAAAGGGATGATGACTATGCTGGATTTGTGTTTGGCTACCAGTCCAGCAGCCGCTTCTACGTCGTCATGTGGAAGCAAGTCACCCAGTCCTACTGGGACACCAACCCCACCCGGGCTCAGGGATACTCAGGCCTTTCTGTGAAAGTCGTGAACTCCACCACGGGACCTGGCGAGCACCTGCGCAATGCCCTGTGGCACACAGGCAACACCCCGGGCCAGGTATGGGTTTCTATCAGTGCTGGGGACATTACTTCGGCCAAGATTCCCAACAGGGAGCCTTCGATGTAGTGTTTCCAGCATCACCAACAGTGGTATTGAGCTCTGATTTGTAAAAGCTCAATAGTGTGTGAGAGGGGAGCTCACGCTGACTACGAGTTACCCTGCAAGCTCAAAAGCAGCTCAGTCTCTTCCAACAAAAACTCCTTTCCCTTCCCTCCCCCACTGCTTTATATTCATTGAATGGTGCACAACAAATGACAGAAGGCCTGGGGAAAGCTAACAGGGCAGCTCATTCAGGTCAACACAGTGCCTTTTGAGCACCATTCCCTCCAGGATGAAATATAAACCTTCCCCCAGTGGAGCTCTATTTCAACCTTTTCTTTTCCTTTTCCTCCAGGTGCGCACTCTGTGGCATGACCCTCGTCACATAGGCTGGAAAGATTTCACTGCCTACAGATGGCGTCTCAGCCACAGGCCAAAGACAGGGTTCATTAGGTAAGGTTGGACTGATTCAGTTTTACTTGTAGGGATGGGCAAAAAAGAAAAAGACCAAAGAGTGGCAGTGTTGCTTATGACATTTTTTTTTTTTTCCCTGCAGAGTGGTGATGTATGAAGGGAAGAAAATCATGGCTGACTCTGGACCCATCTATGACAAAACCTACGCTGGTGGTAGACTAGGATTGTTTGTCTTCTCTCAAGAAATGGTGTTCTTCTCTGACCTGAAATATGAATGTAGAGGTAGGAGCAATATTACATTGAATGTGCAGTTGACAGCTCTAATTTAGATGAACAGTGAGGATGAAATGATGGAGAATCTGATTTAAAGACTATTTTAGCTCTGGAGGCTGAGGCAGGAGGATCCCAAGTTCACATCCTACGTAGGCAACCTAGCAACTCAGTGAGAATAAAAAATACCAAGAACTGGGGATGTAGTTCAGTGTAAAAGCCCTAAGTTTAATTCCCTATACCACACACACACACGCACACACACACACACACACACACACACACACACAATTTTAAATCAGGGTTATTTACATTTTGCTTTTGAAGACTGCTAAAAGTAAGATAATGCCTATGACCTGTGGCTAAAGAAATCCTAAGTCCTTATTTATAATGTAAATAAGGCACAAATTCCTAGCAGCAAATTCCTAGCAGTTGCTGCGTTCTTCATAGTGCAGTGCAGAAGTAAACGGCAGACAAGTACCTATACACGTGAGACCTTGTTAATAATATTTTCCTATAAAATTTCATATGTTTATAAATTTTACACTCTGCCTACAGTTTTGTAAAATGCTATCACAGCACAAGTTGTCTTTCACACACTTTCCTTGTGCTGAAAAGGGAAAGGAGTGTTTAATTAATTGTCAATTAACCTTAGCTTTTTTTCTTCCCTTTTTTCCCACCTATTGATTACTTAAGTTGAATTCTGCATTAATTCTACCACAAAATAAGTGCTCAATTAGTACCCAAGGCTCAGGCCTACCAGATGAAAACATCGGCCAGCCAGATCGAACACAGTGGTAAAGAAAGACGGTTGATACTACTCAAAAATATTTAACATAGGACATAACTCTTCAGCTTTAATTTTTAAAATAAAATCCCCTAAACTTAACATTGAAGGCCTTAGAAAGCATAATAGTAATTCTGAAAGGTTGTGCCGTATCTTCATCCTAGTGTCACAGTCAGCTTAAGGAAAAAAATGTTAATGTGTTTGAACAATCTTAAATTATGCCTTCATCACTACAAAAGTAGAGCTATGCCTGGGTTGTTAACTTTTTAACTGCCACTAAGATGACTGTGCCCTTATTAGCTCATTTTCATGTGTGTATTTATTTATGTTTATATGATTATTTAACAGATTCCTAATCATTGAACTGTTGATCAGAGTACTGGTCATAACCAAAGCTGGTTTTGCACCTTCCGGAACAAAGAGCTTGAGAAACCCCCAGGATCACTCCTCCTTGCCTTCCTCTTTTCTCTGCTTGCATCAGTGTGGACTCCTAGAACATACGACCTTCCTCAAGAAAATGCAGCTTTCAAATGCAGACTTGGCATTCAGCCTCCAATGAACGAGAAAACATCGTCCCAAGAATACAATGACTGGTTTGCTTCTAAGAAAGCAAAAGCTTCTACTTGCTTCCACTGGAAATGTGCCCACTCCACTCCGCTTTCGTTCCCAGGCAGGGTGCTCTTGTGGGGCCCTCTCTGAGCAGTGGACTCAGAAACATTTTCAGGCATGCAAGAGAAGGGAGGACTCACTAGAATTAGCCAACAAAACCAGCCCTGACACACTCCCTTAGGAAGAAGGGGAGAAGGGGCCAAAGCACCAAGGCGAGGGCGCATACCCAAGAGGCAACTGTATGGAGAAAATGCGGAGGAACTGTTACACTTTGGTACCAAATCACTTTCAGGGGATTGAAAGACTATTGCTGGATTTCATGATGCTGACCAGTGTTAGCTGATTAGCCCACATAACCAGGCACTTAAATAGAAGTAGGGAAGGGAGGGGAAGCCTGGCTTCTGATGTCTACCCAATCCCCACCCCTTACATATCACCTATGGCGGCCACAGCGCAGAGAGGCCAAAGCTTGAGGCAGCCTTGCCTGGCCACATGGAAATGGGTGGTTTTCTTCCGGGTGTACCTTGTGCAGATGTAACAAGAGAAGAGCAAAACCTACCATCTCAGTGAGCTCCAGCTGCTTCCCAAGGGAGGGGCAGCTGCGCTTATATTTTTATGGTTAGAAAGGCACAAAACTCTTACCAGCTTAACTAAAACATTCCTTTTCTCTCTTTGTACCTGAATTACCATGGAGTTTTCCAACTCTGTCTTTTGGACTATAATTTTTTGGTTTGTTGTTCTTGTTTTTGTTTTGTTTTATAAACGCTTTACAATGTAAGATATTTATTTTTTACCTATGCTGGAGGATCTGTCTGAAGGATTATTGTGGAACAGGAAGAAGCGGAAGGGCTATCCATATCATCTTTGCTGGGAGTCTTCATGACTGTAAGATTGTAAATACAGATTATTTATTAACTCTGTTCTACCTGGAATTAGATTTCATACGGAAAGTGTTTGAGAGCAGGTAGCTGAGCTTTATCAGCAAATCTCATAACAAACTGCTTTTGACTTTGTGCTTAGAGTGAATGATTTGGAATTTTTTTCTTTGTTTGTCTTGTCTTTTGAAGTGGAATTAGTTGGTTGTCCATTTGCAAGTGTTTTAGATTGCAAAGAAAGCCATCAGATCTTTAATACTATTTTACCCCCTAGCCTCGTGCCTATCTCCAGGGAGAAGTAAAGTATATACACCTATTTTTTTTCATTTTTCCAAAAGAGAAAAAAATGACAAAGGTGAAACTTACATACAAATATTACCTCATTTGTTGTGTGACTGAGTACAGAATTTTTGGATCAAGCAGAGTTTTAGTGTCTAACAAACTTATAGCTACTGTAGTACCTAAAAAAGTCAATGTTGTACATAGTATAAAAATTCTTTGCAAAAAAGTATTCCCATAAGGAAATAGCATTGAAATGTTTAATACAATTTCTGAAAGTTATGTTTTTTCTACCATCTTGTATACCATTGCTTTATTTTTATAAATTATTTTCTCATTGCCATTGGAATAGATATCTCAGATTGTGTAGATATGCTATTTAAATAATTTATCGGGAAATACTGCCTGTAGAGTTAGTATTTCTATTTTTATATGTTTGCACACTGAATTGAAGAATTGTTGGGTTTTTGTTTTGTTTTGATTTGTTTTTCGCTTTTACTCCCCAGTTTTTACTATTTTCCAGTACCTTTTTCTAGAAATGTGCTTTTTTGTACACATTTTTATCCATTTTACATTCTGAAGCAGTGTAACTTGTATATTACTGTTTCTTATGTACAAGGAACAAAAATAAATCATATGGAAATTTATATTTATACTTAACTGTATCCATGTGTCTATTCATTCTCTACTGGCTTTATATTATTAATGGCATGGGTAAATACCATCCTCAAACTGATAGAGCATACACAAAGTGAAATTTTAGTGAAGAAGGTAACATTCGTAGTTCCTGTGTACTTTAGAAAGCCTGAGTTGCACAAGACAAGGGTTAGAATACACATTTGCTAGGTTCGTGGAACAAAAGGACAAAACAAGTCTGCCCCATTAAAAACATACAAAAGAGAAATTACCCTTAACTACATGGTGGGTCCCCCAAAACAATTTCATATTAATGTCAGGTTTCTCCAAGTCCAGTTCTGTTTCTAGAAGAACAATGAAAACAAAAGGAAGAGCAGCTGTGATGTACGTAGCGTGCAGCCCCATCTGACTTGTAGGTGACGGCACCTGGTGGTCAGTATGGTCACAGGTACAGCAGCCTCAACAGGAAGTGTGACGAGGAAGAAGCCGTCCTTGAAAAGGGGAGCCACGTATTACTCCTTGCGGAGAATAATAGCTTTGGTCAAAAGCAGATGCCTAAAAAGAAATGTAAAACTTGGAAGAAACGTGTGTGTGACTTAGAGTATACATTTGCTAGGTTCGTGGAACAAAAGGACAAAACTTAAAAATAAACTTAAACAAAAGTAAAAAAATAAAACTTAAACAAAAAAATACTAACTCTACCACATTTTGTGAAGAAAAGGCCAAAATGTTGTAAAAAGCAGACTCTGAGTTTCAGATGGACCAATTATAAATATGAAATGCTCAGCGGGTAATTTCCAGTTTTAGTTTTAAAAAATCAAAGAAGAACTTGCATAGGTTAAAGATCTGGCTTTAAGGTTTGTTAGACAACATTAAGACTGGCTGAATGTGATGAACTCTTCCTTGTTGACTTTCCTCCCTGGTTCTAAAAACATCAACCTGAGTAGCATGATCACACATAAACACAAAATGCCAAATCATTCCACAGGGCCAAGCTGAGGAAGAAAGAGCTAGAAATGGTTGTGCAATTAGGTACACTGATCTGAAAGAATAATTATTTGAAACATGACATCATCTTTTCTCAGAATAGAATGCTAATTAATTTTTAGGTAGTGCAGCAAAACAGGTTGTGAGTATCAAGATAAGACAGAAAAAGTGGCTAGAGACAGGAGCTTTTCTCCCCGGGCATGTTTCATTTCTACTCTGAAACAGACCTACAAGTAGGCAGGTTCCATTAAAATGATGTCATCAGGATGATAGCCTTTTCCTCCTATAGGAGTTTATTGTCAGAGCGATGGAAGGGCAATAAACTTTAGGTCCTCGGGAATTTACAATCGAGGTGGTGCCAGCAATTTTTTTTGAAGAGTCATATGTAGAAAAACTGCAGTTTAAGCTCCTAAATTCATCCCCAGAACAAATTAGTACTTTCTTTCTCTTCTGTATGGTACTTTTTATTCTTGTTTTAGGACAAACACATGGGTATAAAAGGAACCTCAATATAAAAACACTTGTTTTTGATGAGAACTTCTCTCTACACCAGGGTGTCTGGGGCTTTGTTTGTAAATCTGGAGCTGTGAGTTGAATTTTATCATAAATTCAGTGTACTGGTCCTTGTCAAGAGCTGGTTTCTGTTAACGTGCTATGCAGTGGTACCACTTCTTTCACTGACAACATTCATTATTCAGTATTGCTCAGATGGCCTTCCCCTTAACAAACCGCTATAGCACAAAGGCTTGCTGTGCCCCAAATACCATCTGCAGACGCGCAGGATAAAGCAGCAAGTCCTTTGCAGTGTCCATCGAGAAGTATTTTGTTTCTCTCTTCCTTTCCCCACTCCACTCCTCTGGCATCAAACACAAGGGAAACATGGGTTTAGAAAGCAGAGCTCATCTGAAAAGCTGATGAGCAGCAATGGGTTTTCTCTGTCCTACTCCAAATTCCTGCCCATGTCACCTCTACCAAACCTCTCCACACCTAGCAGTGCACATGTCATTCCTATGACAAGCTGAAATCATGACTTTTAACTTCTGCTGACATCCCACAGCAAAACTCTTGATGCCAGGATAAGTTACGCTATAGCACACTGACATCAACATGAACCACTGGTATTTTAAATGAACAAATAGTAAACTTTAATATGAAGGCTGGAAAAAGAAACTGCCTATGGATACCTTCAAAAATAGTAGCTGTAGAATTCCTCATTCGAAAAGGCCAAGGAGTACAATAATGTAAACAAACATTATTATCCAATATCAGTAGATAAGCACGTGTCAGCAAATATTAATGCCACATATATATATATTACATCAAATTTTATTAAAGGTAGTACAACAGCTAGCTCATTTTTCAAATCAGAAATACATTTGACTTCTAGTTCTAAGGTCAATTCATCTTATAAAGTCAATTCATCTTATAAAGTGTTGCTATAAAATTTTCTTATGAATCCAGGTTAATAACATATAATTAAGCAAATATCTCTTAAAATAATATTATAGACTTCATTTAAAAAAGTCGTTCATCTTTATTTGCTGTGTTCTAAAAGGCCCTAAGTGAAAGAACGTAACAAACTGAGAGAAACATATCAAATAATTCATCACATTCCTACTTGAATAAGTAGTATCATTAACCAGATAATGTAGGCTTCCCTAATGTTGCTTTGTTGAGGCAGTTTATTTCTCCCCATGGTGTGTTACACCAACAGACACTGAACAGACAGAGAAAAGCAAAAACAGACCAGAACAAAAATCCATAGTGACCACAATCTGAATCACAATAAAGTTGAAACACATAAAAGCAAATACAGGATAATCATACCATTTCCACTATGCTTAACATAATGCATACATTAAAATATTGATTTTCATAATGTATCCCTGGTACTGTAAGATTAGTGATACATTCATAAATAAATTTCCCAGAAATTTCAATGAAGAAAAACCACTGAACAATTACAAGTCTTAAAAATATCAAGGAAATGAAATGTATAAGAGAAGTCAGATGTCAAAATCATTATTTGGGGAATAGTCTCTATAGTATTCACTGAATTTAAAGAATTCAGAGAAAACAATTTAACATAATTACCAACTGTCTTAAGAGCATATCCTAGCAAGTCCTTGCTTAAGATTCTTTACATTCTTCCATGACCTCTTTCATCTCCTGTTTATCTGCATACAAAAATAATAACCAAAGTTATTAAAGAATCAGAAATGTGTACATAATTTAGAAAACTAATTCAGTTTATTAAACATTGAATCATTTTACACATATACAATAATCATATTCTTAGTTACTATTTATTAAGCTGCACATAGAGTTTATAAGTAAATTCAAAATATAAGGTGTCTGTCCTGATTGAGCTTAGCAGCTCAGAAAAAACTTGAGTTTTGAGAGTAAAAATGACTGTGGATTTAAAGACAGATTTCATTTTTTTTCTGTGCTTTCAACTGAATTTCTAGGAAGTGAGATGGAAGCAAAAGTAAATGCTACATGTAAGGTAGATGACAGCAAATTATCATTTATGTCTTATGACAATAAGAGAAGTGAAATGCCAATATTTTTCTGCCCTTAGTGAGAAAGTTAACAGAGAAGGCAGAATTGACAACAGAACCAAAGAAAAGAAGACAATAAAAAGTAGGAGGAGAAACCTGTGAAATGTAAAATGGTATAATATCTCCAGCAAACAGTCTGGTAGTTCATCAAAAGGTTATAACAGATGTGGCAATTCCATTCCTGAGGTAGCCCAAGGGAAATGAAAACATACATCTACACAAAAACTTGTAACACACAAATATTCACATTAACATAGGTAATAGCTAATAAGTGGAACAACCCAAACATCTGTCAGCTAGATCAGATAAGTAAAATGTGGTATGTCCATGCAGTAGAATATTATTCAGTAATAAAAATAAACAGTACTGATGCATGCTACACCATTTCAAGATTTCAACATAAATCTTGAAAACATTTGCAGTGTGTAAAAAGCCAGCACAAGAGGTCACAATATTGTGACCTCACAAATTCACTTTCATGAACTATCCAGAGTAAGCAAATTCATAGAGACAGAAAAATAGATTAGCAATTGCCTACAGGAGGGGTTTAGGGTAGGGAAAATAGGGAGTGATAACTAATGGATACAATGTTTCTTTGGAAGGTGAAGAAAATATAAAATTGATTGTGGTAAAGTTTGTACAACTCTATACTAAAATCCACTGAATTGTACATACTTAAATGGGGTGAATTATACGGTATTATTGGACTGTAACTGCATAAAATTAATGCCCACATCTTTCCCAATCTCTGGAACTTGTGCATTTTACTTTATTTTGGAAAAAGATCTTTGCAGATCCAACTAAATTAAAGGATCTTTAGGATATCATATTCTATTAGCTGGGTGAGCTCTAAATTCGCTAATAAGTGTTTTTATAAGAAAAATGCAGAGGGAGCCCGATAAATGCACACATGCAGGGAGGCGGTGTGAAAATGGCGGCAGACGAAGTGCTGTGGTCACCAAAGAGGCTCAGGGATGCTGACAGCCACGAGAAACCGGAAGGTGCAGTAAAGCATTCAGCCTGAGAGCCTCCCGGCAGAGCGAGCGGCCTTGGTGACGCCTTGGTTTCAGACTACTGGCCTCTAGACCTGTAGGAGAATCAATTTCTGTTTTGGCAATTTGTTATGACAACAATAGGAAACAAATACAGGTACATAAATTGTATCTGAAAGCTGCTACAAAAAAAATAAGAGAATCAACTACATAATTAAAGCCAGATGACCCAAGAGTTTCACAAAGCAAAGTGAGAAGAGTACTGATATTATCAAGACACGGAAGAGAAGTATGACATAGGATGTAGAGGGAGCTGAGCCAGACGAGAAGACCAGAGTATTCCACACATGAGGTGAGGGATGACAGGACAAAGCTCCAGGCCTTTAAAGAGTAATTCCTTCTCTGTAGAGTGCTGGGCTTGCCCACCTCATCCTTGGAGGCTCTGCTTCAATGCCACCTCCCATTTCCCCAGTGTCCCTACGCCTCACATCTCTATGGACTTGAACGCAAACTCTTGTTATACTTGTCCCACTGTACTGTAATTATTTAAGTGCTTGCCTTCAGCAGTAGACTCGGAAGAAGTTTACAACAGTGATCATGCCCTGCTCACTTGATATCCTAGAGCAACAGTCCTCAACTGGGGAAAGTTTTGTCTCCCAATGAACATTTAAAAATATTGTAACATTATCTTCTGAGTATAAGCTAGGGATTCTATTTAGCTTCCTATAATGCACAGGATGGGCCTCCAACTTAGAAATGTAAATAATGCTGGAGCTGAAAAACCTGGAATTTAGAAAGTTAGGTAGAACACAGTAAGAAACTCAAATGTTTGTGGGGGGGATATGCGGATGAACGGATATGGATGAATAGATGGATGGAGAGATGATGAATTGTTGGGGACCATGAATTATAAATTGAGTCTAGAGGACATCCAAAGCCTGTTCTTGTCCTGCCCGTGAGTCAGATTGGAACACAGAAACTCTCTGCTCTTTTCTGGTCAGAGCTGAAAGCCCTAGGGCTAATGACTGCTGTGCCACTCACAGGGGAAGGTAACACCTGCTGGAGACACAAGGCGTCCAGGTCATTACCCCAGTCTCGTCCTTGTCCTTGTCCTTGCAAGAAGCTTTGTTCTCTCCTTACTATCCCACTATAGTCACCATTACTGTCCCTGGCAACACCCACTGCCCTTCCCCATTGCCCTTGACTCAGCTCAATAAATACCAAGGTTCTGGCCACCTCATGGCCTTTTGTTCCCTGAGAACAGCTGGTCATCCCAGATCCCTGCCTGCACCTCTATTTTGTCTCTTGCTCTTTCTTCCCACCATGCACTGTAACACTTGGCAGGAGACTGGGGACTCACAGCAGGGGTCCCTGATAACTCACACCATGAAAGGGGTCTCTGATAATGAATAAACAAGTTGGCACCAAGGAAGAGTAGTTTTAAAGCATGACTGGACCACAGACTCACCCACATCCTATCCTCAAAAACTCATTTAAACAAGTACTTATGTCCAGAGTCAACCCCTAGACACTGACTTAATTAACCTGGGATGAAACCAAGGCATTAATCTGTTTTACATCTTACTAGGTGATTCGAACACACAGCCAAAGGTAAGAAGTAGCACTTCCAAAGAAACAGACTCAGGATACCTGCAAATGCCGGAATGGTTCCTGCAGATACCAAGTAGCAATCTGAATGCAGAAACAGATCCTCCCACAGCAGATACAGCTATCTCCAAAAAAAAATATTAACCATTAAAAAGTGGAGGATGCAAGCTAGTACCTCAGGGCATGTGTGCTCTGTGTGGCTAATGTAGGCTGCCTGAAAGACTGACAATAAGAGACCTGAAGAGAAAAGGCAATCAAGAGAAGGCAGGATCTTCACAAAAAAGGGATTCAAGAAGAAAACAGCAAAGACAGCAAATAGTGAAGATACTTTCTGTATATTATGTTCAACACCACCACAATGCTGGAGGTGACAATCCAACTATGTAGTCCAGAGCCTCTCACATTTTAACGTGCACACAAATCACCTGTGGGGACATCCTGTTACTGAGCAAATGGAATTCAGTGGGTTGCGGGTAGGGCTGGGCCTTGCATTTCTAACAAGCCTCCAAGTGAGGCTGACAGGGCAGGTTGCAGATCAGATCTACAGTCCTGATAGCTGATCTATAGTAACTTTTACTCAATTTGAATGAAACAATGGAATCATAAGTTTCCCTAACTGACAGAGTGTTAGTACAGCACAATTAAACATCAAAGTTTTTAAAGATGTTCACTTTACGCTATTAAATAAAGCGAAAGTGATGTTTTATAAGTGAAAAAAAATGATCAGTGCCAAACAAGTTACATGAAAAGTCTACCTAATGAAGAATTAGAGTAAATAAAATCCGTAGAAAATAACTTGAGACAGGGATATAGCTCAGCGGCATAGTGCCTGCCTGAAAAGCTCAGGGTCCTGAGTTCGATTCCCAGTACCAAAAAAAAAAAAAGGTAACTTGAAAAATAAATAAAAATAATATAAATGTCTTATACACTAAAATTTTACATAAAAAGGAGTAAGACTAAATTTCTAATTTGGGAGATGGTATTTTGGTGAAGGAAACTGGAGGAGGGTTCATCTGACTACATAACAGGAGATTAAGTCACTAAGAACATCTAAGAAGTAACTAGCAGACCTGGAAAAGTAATTTAACAAATAAGTAGGAGGTCTGAGAACACACTATGAAAAAAGAAATTCATTAAGGCAAGGATGAATTAAGGACTTCCCTAAGATCAAGCTAAAATATGGTATTATCATCACAATTTCTAGAATCACACTGCTCCATTGCAAAGCAATAAGACCATTATAACAAAGAAAACTCAGTCTTTGGAACCATTCAGGCTGTATCAGTGTGACATATACCACCACATACCTCCTTGAAATAACTGCCACATACCTCCCAAAATTCACTCTTTCTATACCCAGGCTTTACCCAGACAGTTACAATCCAATGGGCAGAATTTCATCATTAAGTGTATTCATATTGTATGTTGGCAGTTGTCATTATTGGTAGAACTTGTTCTGAGGACTCCAATAGGATGACATAATTATCTTTCTTCCACTAAACTGAAACCCCTATTTCTCAAGTGTATATAGGAAAACTCTGTCATCAGCATTAATCTGACACTCTGGGCTCTCAATGCCAGAAACTCTGATTTCAGTAAGTCTAGACAGGCCCTTGGACAAGCATATAAAAAACAAAAACTCCTCAGATGATCCGAGTGTTCCCCTCAACCGGGGATAAAACTGTATGGCAGTGGTGGCGAACCTTTTAGAGCTTTCAATGATAAACAGCCGACTTCAGCACATGTGCCACAGGTTCACCACCTCTGCTCTGTGATGTGTACCAGTGCTTCTCAAACTTCACTGTGTGGAAATATCACCAAGGATCTTAAGATGAAAGTTAAAATGCAGCAGGTCTGGTGTGGGGCCTTTAGGGTCCTGCAAATGTAACGAACTATACCAGTGTTTAGAATATACTATAAGCTGCAAAGGCTTATAGCATGGGTTGGGAATTTCTGAGTCTCCAAAAGGCCAAGCTGATGAGGTAGAGAGAGCTGGACATTAGCCATGGTCTATTGGAGAATACACACTCCTTCTAAAGGAAGCACCTGCTACTCAGTTCAGATTGGTTGAACTGTCAGAAAATTGAACTTTTATGGCGTATTTCCCAATTTAATATTAAAGGCCATATAGTTCAATCAACTCCAGTCACTGGGCTAATCATTTACATGAATTTTCTTGTTTTATCTTTATTGCAACCTTACAGAGTATTAAAGCTATTTGTATTAGTCCACTTTCTATCACTATAATGAAATACCTAAGTCAATTAACTTATAAGAGAATAGGTTTATTTTGGTACCTACTTCTAGACGGTCCAGTATAAGATGAAGTAGCCCCATTCTTTGGGCCTTTGGTGGAAGCACATGTCCAAGCAAACCACTCAGAAAGTCAGGAAGCAGAGGGAAAGAAAATGCTGGGATCCCACAAGCTCCTTTAACAGCCCATCCCCAATGACCTAACGACTTCCAATGAGACCCCAACTCCCAAAAATACTACTACTCTACTCCCAAAAGAGCCACGCTAGGCACCAAAGCTTTAACACAAGAACTTTAGGGGACATTCAACATCCAAACTACCGTACCGCCCAATTATACAGATAGATAACCATGGTGTAGAAGAAAAAAGAACAAGATCACTGACTAACAAGCAGAGGACTCAAACCCAGGTCTCCCCTACTCAAAGCTCATGCTCCTAATCACTAGGCTGCATCACTCAGGTAGGCAGGGCCCAGCCTCCCTCTGCTAGCCTGATTCTAGCCTGAGATCTTGCTACTTATCTGGACCCTATTAATAGTTTTATACTTTGAGTAACTAATTTGCTTTTTGATTTTATGTTCTCAGTTTCAGTTTATAGTGACAAATCCTCCCAATGTGCTGGGAACTAAGGGTTTCCAGGGTCATGGATCACTCTGTGGTAAAACTAGTACATTCCCGAGCAAATCAGGACAGTTGATAACCCTAGTTTTCATTTACAGTGCTACATTTTAAAACAACAACAATCAGAACCTGATCTGACTCACTGTTGCAATTGTTACACAATTAAGGGCACTGTTTATTCAATAGGTCCTTTGAAAAATTCCACTTCTCTTTTGTTGAAGAATTAGTGTAGCTTTGTTCCCCTTCTTTAAAACTTATTTTGTGTCCCTTTTTGCCCAACTCCACTTTGTTTTCATATGTTCCTCTTTATCATATGAATTTCTGTTGACAGCTAGGCTCAAATGCAGAGCAGAAAAAAAGAAAATAATATGCTTTGCAAGATGCCTTTTATTCTGATTATACAGAAAGCAACTCAGCATAAGAGAATTTTAGTAAATTCTAGACTATCTCACAGACTTGAAGCTTTGGGCTTCTGAAGCACCAGTGCAATGAGAAACACCTCTCAGGTTTTGTTGCTGAAAACAATTGACACCGTTCTTACCCTTGGAAGAACTTAGAGTGGAAGCATTCTGGTCTCCTTTCATACTCCCCAGGAAAGAACCAGTTATCCAGT